ATATGTATATATAAATATGTATATATTTTGTAACGATAAATGTACTTGTCTACAATAAAGAGAAAAATATATAATTTTTGTTTCTAATTTGTTCACCTAACTGAAAATTTCTAAAATTTGTAAAATTATTTTAGTGTACTTTTTACTAAAAAGAAAAGCTTAAAAAGAAAATTTAAAATTGCTTACAGCATTAGAATTTTGTGTCTAGAGCACTTACCAGCCTCAAGTGCGCACAGATTAAAAATAATTTCATTTTTATAAAATATTTAGTTTTATTTTTTCTTTTGTATTCTTAATTCACTTAAAGTGACTTTGGGCTTTGTCTTACTGCCCCAGAGCGAACAGTGCGCCCATATTGCAGGCCAGATATGCAAAATGTATGTAAATGGGCAGAACCATAAAAAATGCGGGCAACTTTAAAAAACATAAAAGAAGGAAAAAGAAAAGATTTCTGAGTGCCTCAGTTGACAATTGCTGCTGTGTGGAAAACGCGTCAAGATAAAAGGAAAATTTATAAAATGGTAGGGGCGTGGCGAGGTGGGGCGGGGCGGGGCAGAAAGCAAAACGAAGGAGCCGCACAGCGTTTAAGCAATAAAACAATAAATTTTCATTACCGGACTCGTGGCTATTAACTGTTTCCGCTGGCCGAAAAAAGTAAATGCATTTAAACAGGCAGCAGGTTTAAATGTGTATAAAAATAAATAAAATACAAATTGCTATATATATATGTGTGTGTTTCATTTATTTATACATATGTATGTTACGTTTGAACTGCAGTGGATGCTGGAAAGTATGCAACACTTTTGTAATTTATTTTATTTCTGCCGGCTTTTTATTATTTTTTTGTTCTCCCATTTCAAACATTTGACTTTGGCATTTCACATTAAAAATTTTTATTCTTTTATATACGTTTTTTCCTTTTTTTTTTTAATACCTATTTTTGTACTATTTTCTCTTTATTCACCCGCACTTGGCATTTTCTCTGTGTCTGTGTGCTTTGCGCTTTAATTACATTTTCGTGGTTTTCATTTTGTGCACCATAAATAATTTCACCCATGCAATGCTGCGCTGCTTCTTCTACAGCTTTTTTTTCATTATACAGCTCTCTCTCTCTCTCTCTCTCTCTCTCTCTCTCTCTCTCTCTCTCTCTCTCTCTCTTTGTTTTTTAGTATTTCCATTTTTCTCTTCGCATAAAATGATTTGGCCCACGTCCAGAGTAGGTGAACACAAAACTAAATGTTGTTGTTGCCTTTTGCGGCTGCATCAGCATTAATTTGCTTAAAATGAAAACGTGCTTGAAAAAAGATTTTCTATATTCTTCCCTACTCCCTACTTGAAAAGTGAGTAAGGAAGGTGTATTGGGTCTTGACGGATGTGCGGAGCTAAGATACGATTTTATGTATATGCTATTTTGAAAGTTTCTGGGTTGCTGTATATCTTCGTACATCTTTTCGATAATAAATGGAATAATATAATAGTTAGTTTAATATTTACAACCAATCATTACTAAAATATCAAACCATCAAAACTAGTAAAAACAAAATATATATATAAGAGTTAATCACCAAAAAAATTTATATATATATATATGAGACAGTCGATTACAACCATCTCGAATGATGAGCTATTTTTTACATTTTTGAAGCTTCTCTCTCTCGTAACTCAACCTGAACTCCACATCAAGTCGACTATAATTTTTTATTTTCGTTTTTATTTTGTTCTTGCAGGTCACGTGGGCGGCTGTGGCATAACGGAGGAGGTCTCACAATGGATGGAGAATATACAAAATTCAGCGGTTGAGGAGCTGCCAGTGCCCATGTCAAAGGATGTCCAAAAGCTGCACCGGAAACAGCAACACAAAAAAGCAACGGCTGCCCAGCAACAACAACAACAGCAGCAGCAACAACAACAACAGCAACAGCAACAATATCCACCGAAGAAATACGCCAGCAGCGATGATGATTTCAAATTGCCACATCAGAAATATACAAAGGAAGCAAACTTGGGCGATGGCAACGGTGGATTCTATGATCCAGAGACCGGACGACGCTTGGGCACCACGGCCAATGTCGCCGAGTGGCGTCAACTGGTCCACGAGCGTGTGCGTCGCGCCAGTGGCAACGGCGGCGCTGGTGGCAACAATGCCGCGGCTAACGGTTCATCTGGCGCCGGACGCGGACGTGAGGATAACAAGAATACCTGCTCGCTGTATATACAAACAGATCCATTGATTTGGCGTCATATACGCGAGAGTATTGCTGATGTAAGTCTGACTACCGAAGCCACCAGTTGGTGGTGGGGGGTGTGGCTGAAGGCTGAAGGCTTGCTGCGTGGCAGCTGTGGAGTGGTCGTGGCCTGCCAGTTCGTGCGCCAAATTAAAACCGAAGCAGCAGCAGCAACAACAGAAACAACAACAACAGCAACAACAGTTTCTCTGTGCCTTAAACAACACAAAACAAAATCCATGAGTTTTGCAATTTTTTACGAGCGAATGCTTCACTTTTTGGCTCTCAAGCATAAAACAAAAGGCCCCAATTTTTCTGGATGATGCGCGGGCAATGCTTGAGGGTGTGCAAGCGAGACGACTGCATGGGGTGGAGGGGAGTACGCGGCGCGTAGTCAGTCCGACGCCATTTTTTGTTTCTGTTCGCTCAAAGAAATTGAGTGATGCGCTACGATAAGTGAAAATTGTTCTTTGGTTAGCTGAAAGTCAGCTTAGTTGCTGAAAAGTTGCTAGATTATTTTATGATTTTTTTTAAAGTCAAGCAAGTCTTGTTGCTAGTTGACAAGATTGTGGAATCTTAATGTAGAAATTTCACCACATAGACTTTTTATTTATTTTTTAATAAAATCAGATTCGGCGTTTGCGTAGAAGTTGATTATTTTTTTTTTTATAATTTTTAAATAAGTCAAGCACAGTTTTTTGTTAGTTGTCAAGATTATGGAAACTTAATGCAGAAATTTCACCACATAGACTTTTTATTTATTTTTAAATAAAATCAGATTCGGCGTTTGCGTAGAAGTTGATTTTTTTTATAATTTTTAAATAAGTCAAGCAAGTCATAGATTTACTAATGCTCTTTTCTTTTATTTTTATTTATTTATTTATTTTTTTTTTTTTAATAAAATCAGATTCAGTGTTTTCTTAAAAGTTGATTATTTTCCTATGATTTTTAAATAAGTCAACCACAATTTTTTGTTGGTTGTCAAGATTAAGAAATCTTAATGAAAAAATTTCGAGGCCTAGATTTATTCAATAAATGAATATTATTTTATTGTTTATTTGTTGAATTTTTGGTTTCTTTAAAGCTCAGAAAAGAAGTTATCTCACAAGAAAAGCTAGTTTAAAAATTTACAAATATAATGGAATACCTTTTTAGCATATCCTCAAATACTATAATAATATTTTAAATAATTTCTGAGCCATAAACACAGTTAGTGCGCATGGCATTTAAATTTAATCTCATAAAAATAGTTTATTTAAATTATTATCTGTAAAAGTATTTTTCAGATCCGCAAATGCGATCAAAACAAACTTTAAATGAAATGCCTTTCAGTTCAATAATTTGGAACATAATAGCCACTTAATTTATATTCCTGCCTACTCAAAGTATACTTAAGCATGCACACAGCACTTCATAATCAATTTACCTCAACTTGGCTTTCTAATAAATTTCGACCTGGCTTAATTAAATTTTCATATATAATTATTATCTTGAGTTAACAATAATCTCAAGTGTTTCGCACACATGAAATCATTTAGAGCACAATTCAAGCAGCCCTTAAGCATGGTTGGCCCCACACACAATTTGCCGAGCAACCTTATGAAGGGTGATTTTATTTTTTCTCCTTTCCTCTTTGCATTTCCTTGAAATTTTGCTTGAATTTCGCCTTTGCTTGGCGGCGTCTTCAAAGCAATCAACCAATCAGCTGACCTGCTTCGATATCTGCAGCGCATGCAATCAACCGTTATAGCCTGCGTGCCTCCGCTCTCTCTTGCTCTCTCTCTCTCTCTCTATTTTGCTCGACAATTCTTTTGCTCTACGCTTGCTCGTTCGCAAGCAATTCTTTTGCCTCACTTTATGTTTACGTTCATTTTTTTCGCATTGTACACGCTGTTGTTGTTCTTCCAGTTGTTGTTGTTGTTGTTGTTGTTGTTGTCGTCGTCGACGTCGACGTCAACATCCTCGTCAGATTCGTTTTGCAGCGCACCCGATCCCAACCCTCTGGCGATATGCTCAACCCGCTTGTCTTCGCTCACTCATTCACTCACTCGCTCACTCTCTCGCTCTGCCTCTCTCACTCTTCCCTCGCCGTTTTGCCTGTTTATTTGCAATGAGTTTTGCATAATTCGCGCATTTGTTTCGTTCGTCGCTGCGTTCGTGACGCGTTTTTATTGGCCTGTGCAATGAAATGAGAGGGTATATTGATTTGTATAACTGTGTGTGTGCATTTATTTATTTAGTAGATAGAGATCATATCATAAAGCTGGAATATAGCACACTGGCTACAGCGGCTTTTTGCTTATAGGGTGTAGATAATTAGGAATCAATATTAGCCACCGATTATAATATCTATTTATTGACTTAAATAATATAGCCCTGATCTATTAGAAACAACTACAAATATATTTCCAATTGTATTTTGCCATCTCAGGATTTTACTTTGAAATATATCAGTTTCTGATTTTGTAAATAAATCTTTTACATTTTCTTGGAACTACATTTCCCAGGGTATTTCAAGGCACATATCCCATTCAGTTGTTGGTTCTATTTACTCGCCTTTTGTCACTGAGCCCAGCGGCATTTTGATTTTGGAACCAAAAACTGCCGTTAGCGGTGCGCTGATAGACCGTGCCCCACGTGGCCCACACCGCACGGTTAAAAACCACGAAATCCCGCAAATCCACCCGCTCAACGCGCACGCGAATATATAAAAGCGAATAAAGTTCTGAAAAATATTCGACGGGTTTTTAGCTGAATTTGCATTTTTATACAAATATATTTGAAGAGTGCTTGTTGTGTGTGTGGGGTGTGTGTGGGTGTGGGTGTGGGTGTGTGCTGGGGCCCTGGGCAACAACAAACTGGGGAATGGGGTCGTTTGTTTGTCTGGCTGCTTTGTTTGCCACGCCCCTTGTTTGCTCAAAATGTCAAGCGCAGCGGCACTGCGGTTGAGATTTTTATTACGAGCGAGCGCGTCCGCTCGCGCCCAGAAGTCGACTGCATTGATTTTTATTTTTAATTTAATTTTTTCTTTGTACTTATTTGGTTAATTTTTGCTGATATATTTGTGTGTGTTTAAAATTAATTTGTGAAAATTTGGCGACTCCCTTTTCATGTTGACGCATATGCAGCACGATCGCGGTCGCAAGTACGAGATAGATGTGAAGACCCGGGAGGAAATCACTTCGCTGATTGCACATCATGTGACGGCCGTTAATTACATTTACCGCAACACAAAGTTCGATGGACGGACGGAGCATCGCAACATACGCTTTGAGGTGAGTGAACAGCAGCAGCAGCAGTAGCAGCAGCAGCAGCAGCTCAGCAGCGCCCCCTGCCGGTTGCCAATTGCCGAACAGAGCAGCGCTGGAAGGGTGGCTCCACATTCCACATCCCACTGCCCACAGGCAACAATGGCCACAGAACAAAGAGCGTGTCCCTGGACCAGGACCAGGACCAGGACCAGAGCAGCAGCAGCTCCAGCAACCAGGACAACCTCATCAGGGTTGTAAAGAGAAGCGTTTAAGCGCAGACAGCCCCAATAATTATGCGTGAAACGAGTTGCGCTGACGCCAGCGCCGAGTTAAGATGGGTTTTAGTATAATAAACTTTAAAGTCAAGGGCCTTTAAGCTGAAAGGATTGATATTTTGTATAGATGGAATACAATTTCGATAGTGAAACGAAATGGAATTGTAAAATTCTATAGTTTGAGTTAAGTTAGGTTCTCACTTCTGAGGTTCAGGTGTGTAAATTGTCTATTTTATATTAATGGAACATCCTAAAATATTTGAGTGAGTTTTTTGATAGAAGTACTATATAATACTATACAAACTATACAAACTTAAGCTGCAAATAATTCAGTTATAGTATTTTATATGGCTTTAAGGGAAGAACTAAATATTTTTGAGCACTTTACGAGTTGAATATAGATTTATAGATTTGTACTCATTGTCTGGTCTTATATTTTTAGTCGTCGCCTAGATTCGTATTCGTGAGGGATAGGATTAACTATTGGTACAGAAGCTATATAGTACACATAGAGAACGTAGTAAAAGTGCAAAACTTTAAAAATTATTGATTGAGCTAGGTTCAAATTAAAACTAATCTAAGGAAAGATAGTAATATGTTATAAGGGAAATGAATTGTGAATGGAACAAATAAAACTTAATTATATTTTTATTTCTAATTGACATATTGGAACTATTTAATTTATTAAACTGTAATCTCCCAAATTCTTCTCCAGGTGCAACGCATTAAAATCGACGACGATTCCGCCTGTCGCAATTCTTACAATGGGCCACACAATGCATTTTGTAACGAGCACATGGATGTGTCGAACTTCTTGAATCTCCACTCGCTAGAGGATCACTCAGACTTTTGTCTAGCCTATGTATTTACCTACAGGTAATAAAATAGTAAAATATTTTACTTTTTATCGAACTTAATCGTCTCTCTTCCCATCCTGCAGAGATTTTACGGGCGGCACTTTGGGCCTGGCCTGGGTGGCCAGCGCGTCGGGCGCCTCGGGCGGCATTTGCGAGAAGTACAAAACCTACACGGAAACTGTGGGCGGCCAGTACCAGAGCACCAAGCGCTCCTTGAACACGGGCATCATCACCTTTGTCAACTACAACAGTCGCGTCCCACCAAAGGTGTCGCAGCTGACGCTGGCCCATGAGATTGGACACAATTTTGGATCACCGGTAAGTGGATGGAGGCGTAGGGGGTGGGAATGCATACGGTGTAAGTTTTTTTATTGTTTGCTAATTACAGAATTTCTTCATAGGAATGATTTAGATTTATTCCGCATTCCATTAATTTTTTTTAGTTAAATTATATTTTATTATACCTTTTATTTTATTTATTGTTTTACCGATTTTATTATAACTTAGTATTAATGTAATTTATTTTTATTTACAGAATTTCATTTCATTGTGTCAGCAAATTTATTTTTATTTATGTTATACATTTTAAGAGATTCCCTACTTTAAACTAGCTTAGTTCCATTATATTTAATTTCATAGTTTGCTTAAATTTATAGACAAAATTCATGTTCTATTCCATTGTTCCGCTTTACATTTCACGTAAGATTGTGCAAAAATGCATACTCATGCATGACAAATGCATATGGAATTAAGTGTTTCATTCCACCATTCCTCACTAAATGACCATCTAAGGAACCTTCCACGTTCTACATTATATTATATTCTCAGTTAGCACAAAAATGTCTTAGGATCCATTGCGCATAATCATTTAATGCCATATTAAGTGTTTCATTCCATTATTCCAACGCGAATTAATCGATTGTCATCTGCTCCACAGCACGACTACCCACAAGAATGCCGTCCCAGTGGACCCAACGGCAACTTCATAATGTTTGCCAGCGCCACCTCTGGCGATCGGCCCAACAATTCGAAATTCTCACCCTGTTCCATACGCAACATTTCCAATGTGCTGGATGTGCTGGTGGGCAATACGAAACGCGACTGCTTCAAGGCATCGGAGGGCGCCTTCTGCGGCAACAAGATCGTGGAGTCGGGCGAGGAGTGCGACTGTGGCTTCAACGAGGAGGAGTGCAAAGACAATTGCTGCTATCCGCGCCTGATCAGCGAATACGATCAGTCGCTCAACTCGAGTGCGAAGGGCTGCAGGCGTCGCGCCAAGACGCAGTGCTCGCCGTCGCAGGGCCCGTGCTGCCTGGCCAACTCCTGCGCGTTTGTGCCCTCGCACTTCCACCAGAAGTGCAAGGAGGAGACGGAGTGCAGCTGGTCGAGCACCTGCAATGGCACCACGGCCGAGTGCCCCGAGCCCCGGCACCGCGATGACAAAACGATGTGCAACAACGGCACCGCCCTGTGCATACGCGGCGAGTGCAGTGGATCGCCCTGTTTGCTCTGGAATATGACCAAATGCTTCCTCACCTCGACGACGCTGCCGCACGTGGACAAGCGCAAGCTCTGCGAGCTCGCCTGCCAGGATGGCAACGATACGTCCACCTGTCGCAGCACCAGTGAATTCGCTGCCGAATACAACATCCAACCGGGTGGCATCAGCCTGCAGCCGGGCTCACCCTGCGACAACTTCCAGGGCTACTGCGATGTGTTCCTCAAGTGTCGCGCCGTCGACGCGGACGGACCGCTAGTGCGGCTCAAGAATCTGCTGCTCAATCGGGAAACCCTGCTCACCGTCACCGAGTGGGTCACCGGCAACTGGTATCTGGTGGTGCTCATTGGCGTCGGCTTCATCGTCGTCCTGGGCGCATTCATCAAATGCTGCGCCGTGCACACGCCCAGCTCCAATCCGAAGAAGCGCCGGGCTCGACGCATCAGCGAAACGCTGCGTGCCCCAATGAATACGCTGCGTCGCATGGTAAATTTCGCTTGAGTTTGAACTACCGTTATGCTCGTTCATCTAGTGCAAAGGGGCATACCCAGTGGCCAGTGTGAAATGTTTCCGTCTGCATGTCCTGAGCTCGAGCTGCCTTATCTAGATGCTTGCAATTGGATACATTTACACTCCAGTATATGGGGATATAGGTTATATATAGTTCTATATAAAATGCAAAGAGTTGGTCTCAAGGAGTAGCGAATTTTCACCTCTATTTTATCTCTATCTATCCATCTATTCATTCACTGTCTATTTATTTATTTTCCACCTACCCATATTACCACATATATCATTCTGCATATGTCTACGAAGTGTATTTATCTATCTTCTACCTGTTATGTGATATTATCGCTAGAGACTTAAAGTCGGCTTGGCTTTAGCTTTCAGGTTGCCTACCACAGACAGTTAACTTATATATCTTTCGCCACTTGAGTCCCCTTAGAATATCTTGGACGAGTATTACGTAGTCGGCTACAGCCGACTGAAGCTTGCTTACTTCTTTCACACTATATTCTGCATCCCTTAACCGCAGCAGCGTCATCCCAATCAACGTGGTGCTGGGCCGCGCAGCATTCCACCGCCCGCGCACGAGGCGCAGCATTATCCGAGAGGTGGGGGCGGTGGTGGCGGCGGACGACACGGTGGATCACGTGGACACAATCACCACAATGCGCATCCGCACGAATGGGATCGGCATCAGGGCGGCCATTCGATAGTCCCGCTGCCCACGGGCGGCAGTCACTCCAGCCGCAGTGCCCCGGCGAATCAGGCGCGTCGCAGCGATGGGCGTGGCGCACGGCCCAGCAGCAGTGGCAGGCCGCAGGCGAGCGGCGGAGCAGCCGGACGATCTGGGTATGGAGCCGATCAAACGGGCGTGGGTGGTGCTATGGGTGGTGGTGTGCAGGCGGCCATTAGCAGCGGTGGTGTGGTGGCGCGTGCGCAGCTGCCGCTGCCATTGCTGCCGGCAAATGCACAACAACAACAACAACAACAAGCACTCTCACCGCAACAACAACAACAACAACAACAGCCGCAAGCGTTCTATGCGCCGAAAGGTGCGTCTGCCACTCCACGAGAGTGTTCTATGCCAGTAGTTCCCCAATGCCAGAGAGCTGCTGTTTAGTTTCTCATATTTGTTTCACTGAACAACTAAAGCAAACACACATTTAATTTCTATTTTTACTTATTTTTCTTTTTTCCTTTTTTTTGCCCACTTTTCCATCAACTATATATATATATGTATATGTATATGCCTCATCTGTATTTGCAATTCAAATCAAAATCATAAAAAAAAAACAAAAATGTCTGAAATTCAGAATTACCGCCACGCAATAAGTCCCGCTCGTCACGTACCACGGCCACGCCCCCGACAGTGGCTGGCAGCAGTAAGCAAGCCAAAAGCGCCAAAGTCAAAGACACACAACAACAACAACTACAACAACAACAGAACAACAAACACAACAACAGCAACCGCARCCGCAGCCGCAGCAGCAGCAAAGACAAGGCAACAGCAGCCGCTGGCAAGATGCGCCGCAATATTGTTTACTAAATGTGGAACGCTTGGAATTGGAACGCCTCAACACATGCCATATACAATACAAACACAACTACAATATATATATATATATAGCAAACCTCCACGCGCTTGCTAGCGTGCCATTTCCATCGTTCCACGCAAACGGCTTTGCCCCCCTCACCCACCCACACAAAACGAATTTGATCAGCAATTGGTATGAATAATTTTCACTAGCGTTTTCTTTTTATATTTCCCTCACGACTCGATTGTATTTAGCCCGTCTTGAGTTTTGTTGTTCTTGATTTGGTTTCCTTCTGGTCCTCGACTCTAATAACAGCACTTCGTACTCCTCTTATTATTATTATTATTTGTGGTTTGTCCTTTGACTGTTTTGCTCTCTTTCTGTTTTTGGCATGTTTCCACTTTGTTTATATTGTTTGAGTCTTTCCGATAATTTGTATTGTTGTTGTTTTTGTTATTGCATGCACACTAAAATAATATATTAATAATCACGATTAATTCTGTTTACTAACTCAACTAACGCGCGCAACTGCACCCAATGCAATGCAAATTAACATAAAGTTTGTACATACAAAAATATACACTTAAATGAAGAATATAAATTTA